TGTGTGTGTGTGTGTGTGTGTGTGTGTGTGTGTGTGTGTGTGTGTGTGCTGCAGTGGTCATGAGTGTGAAAAATGGTCATAAATCTTTTTTCCCCCCGATACCATTGCAACTTCAAACAGTCACTAAACCAACTGTTGTAAGCAGGGGTAGGATTGAAAAGTTTTAGCAACCGGTTCTCTGCCCGGTTGCTGGGTGGGCATGGCCATGGTGGGTGTGGCCTAGTTAGCGTCCTGCACCATGGCGATAGTGAGGCGTTTTCCCCCTCCCCAGGCTCTGGATACTTTGCTCGAACCTCCGAGAGGGCGAAAACAGCCCCCTCTGGCTCTGGAGGCCAGAAATGGGCCCGTTTCCGGACTTCCAATACTTCCAGTAGGCCAGTTTTTTGCCCTCCCAGAGCCTCCACGCGGGCCCTGCACTTACCTGGCATCCAAAATGGGCCGTGTGACACTCCTGGGAGAGGCAGGGAGGAGTAGGTGGGGTCAGCCAGTCCTTGTAACCTCAGCTTCGATGAACCAGATTAAAATTAACATCTGGTTCGCCTGAACCGGTCCGAACTGACTGAATCCCACCACTGGTTATAAGTCGAGGTCTACCTGAATATGTTTCACACCACTTGTTTTCTGTTAAAAACAATTGCAGCGAAATTTCTTGTAAACTTTTCTTGCTAAAAGACTTAAATGCCGGGTTCTCTCTTCCTTGTTGTAAAGCGATTTTATTTTCCCTCTTACATCTGCCTACCTGTTTTCCAATCTGCGTCTTTGGGTTTCGTCTTTAGGCTGCTGCCAGACACCAGTGTTCCTATCTAATAAATTTACATGTGGAAGAGTTCCTGAAGACTGGAGGGATACCAGAATGGCTGAATGGCTTAGAATACATTCCTCAAAGGCTGAAAAATCTGAACGAAATCAACAAGCTGCTTGCACACCGACCTTGGCTGGTTTCCAAAGAGCACATTCAGGTACATTTACTTTGTTTTTTTAAAGAATCGGCTAGAGAAGGCAAAGCCAGATGTTCAACATTTGCCTATGCCAAAACTTTACAGCAGGGGTGTCAAACTCGATTGCATTGAGAGCCGCATCAGGGTTGTGTTTGATCTCAGGGGGCCAGGGGGCAGAGGTGGGTTGCTAATTTTTTTACTACTGGTTCGAGGGGTGCTCCTGCATGCACTCCTGCACATGCGCAAAGTTCGGGTTGATGGGCGGAGCCTCCCACCACCAATACTACCAGTTTGGCTGATCCAGGCTGAACCAGCAGCAACCCACCTCTGCCCCCTGGCCCCCTGAGATCAAACACAACCCTGATGCGGCTCTCAATGCAATCGAGTTTGACACCCCTGCTGTAAAGTTTTGGCATAGGCAAATGTTGAACATCTGGCTTTGCCTTCTCTAGCC